GTGCCACGATGGCAGTGCAAGGTGTGCTTGTGGGCAGTTCTCTTCTTCCTCAACAAATCCTGGATCTCTTGATTGTTTTCATCAAACCAGTCCTTGTTCTTCTTGAAGGAGAACCCTAAAAATTCTTCAGAGGACTGCAGGATGCTGTTTTTAATATGGTGCCAGAGTGTTTCAGGAGAGGGACCTAAAGAATCTATAGAATGATTTTCAAGCCTAGTTTGAAGTTTGCCTGGAATCTGTCTCTCACTGTGGCTGATTGGAGATTGCTAACTTGGAGTCTCCTCCTTGGGATACTGCCCCTTTTTGGTTTGAACTTAAGATTGAGGTTAAGTTTGCAGCGCACAAGCTGATGGTCTGTTTGGCATTCTGCACTGGGCATCACGCGGGTGTGGTGGACTTCGCAGACATCCCTCCGACACACCAAGACATAATCAATGAGATGCCAATGCTTAGATCTAGGATGCATCCAGGTTGTCTTCAGACTATTTTTCTGCTGAAACATAGTGTTAGTGATGGTGAGCTGTTGCTCCGCACAGAATTCTAGCAGAAGTCGACCATTATCGTTGCAGCTTCCAACACCATGCTTGCCTAATATTCCTTTCCAGGCTTCAAAATTCTTTCCTACTCTGACGTTGAAATCACCAAGGATAATGATCTTATCATCTGCAGGAACCTCCTGGGTAAGGCGGCGCAGGTTCGTGTAGAATTTATCTTTTTCAGCAGGGTCAGCTTGGAGAGTTGGGGCGTATATACTAAAGAGGACAACGTGTTGCTTGTTGTGTAGTGGAAGGCATAGGGAGATAATTTGGTCAGAACGACCTGTTGGCAGATTTTCGAGTTTAGGAACAATAGAGTTTTTGATCATGAAGCCGACTCCTGAGAGATGCCTTTCGGTTCTGGGCTTACCTGACCAAAAGAGTGTGTAACCGGCACCATGTTCTCTGAGGCTGCCTCCTCATGAAGGCGAACTTCACTGAGAGCGGCAATGTCGATGTTGAGACGTGATAGTTCGTGAGCGATTAGGGCAGAGCGATGCTCAGGGCGACCACTATTTGCAGAATCAAGCATGGTTCTGATGTTCCAGCATGCGAGAGTCAGTTTGGTTACACCTTTGGAGGCAGATGTATGCCTTTGGGCTCAGTGTTCAAACAGATCAGAAAAAGCAGAGCATGGGAAAAGTAAGGATTATCATCCTTATTTTAGGGACTGAGATTTAAAGCCAGAGGAGTGACCTGACACAATTACAGAGGCAGACTCTCTAGAAGTAGGAATTGAATATTCAGCCCCAGTTTTGGGCTTTAGCTACAACACTGACCTTCTCTCTAACAGTTCCCCAGTAAAGCCCCACAAGACTCCACACAGGCTGCTATGCCTGATAACCCCCAAAGACTACCAGCAACCATTATGTCTTTATTTTCCTTCTTCCCTTGAGCACAGGTATTGGGTTTGTGCTGAAGTGGTGGAAAACAGGTAAGAGTTCCATGTCCATCCTCCTATACTGTCGCAGCTTCAACACTGGAGCAATTACAGGAGTAGGGATAATCCAAGCCCGCAGGAGAGCTGCAGGAGGAAGGAGAGGCAGCAGTCAGGTTTGGGCACTAATCTTCTCCAAAACTCCTGTTCTTGCAAAGGGACCAAACTGCTCAGCAGCGATCAATGGCTCTTCTCCTACCTGGACTGAACAGACTCGGCTCAGCCTGATGTCTGACCTCCAACCACAGCATGACACTGGCCAGGCTGCATGGAAAAGACCAGCTTTCCAACTGCTTTTACTGGTCATTCAAAGCTCAATAGCAATGGGAGCACTCAAAACAGCAGGATGAAAATTCAAAACCATTCAACAAAGAGGAGGAGCTGGAAGCCACTGCACAGCAAGAAAAATATGACATAACTGCCCTCATGGAGGCATGGAGGGATGACTGGCACAGCTGGAGTGCTGCAAACTCTTCACAAGGGACAGGCAGGGAAGGAGAGGCGCTGAGGTGGCCCCGTGTGTGAGGAGCCTGGAGCAGAATGGTGGTCACGACAGGGTTGAGTGTGTGTGAGTAAGGAACAGGGGGAAGGCCAACAAGGCAGATTATCCTGGTGGGAGTCTGTCATAGATCACCCAATCAGGATGAAGAGATAGACAAAATATTCCATAAGCAGCTGGGAGAAGCCCTTGCTCTCATTGGGGGACTTCAACTTACCAGATGTCCACTGGTAAAACAAGGCAGCAGAGAGGAGACAGTCCAGGAAGTTCCTGCAGTGTGTGGCAGAGAACTTCCCTGGTGAGGGAGCCAACCAGGGAGTGCCCTACCGGACCTGCTGTTTTGTGAGCAGCTTTGTCAGAGACGTTGAAGGGCTGGAGGGTGTCCAGAGAAGGGAACAGAGCTGGGGAAGGGTCTGGAGAACCAGGAGCAGCTGAAGGAGCTGGGGGGGCTCAGCCTGAAGAAAAGGAGGCTCAGGGGGGACCTTCTTGCTCTCTCCAGCTCCCTGACAGGAGGGTGGAGCCAGGTGGGGGTTGGGCTCTGCTCCCAGGGAATAAGCAACAGGATGAGAGGAAACAGCCTCAAGGTGTGCCACAGCAGGTCAGGTTGGATATCAGGGAAAATTTCTTCACCAAAAGCGTTATCAAGCATTGCAATGGGCTGCCCAGGGCAGTGGTAGAGCCACCATCTCTGGAGGCATTTAAAAGATATGTAGATGTAACACTTGAGGACATGGCAGTGTTAGGTTTACTGATTGGACTCTGTGATATTAGAGGTTTTATTCTGACCTAAACAATTCCACAATTCTAACTGAGGCGATGGACAGTCAAACAAGGGGTAGATAAACAAGGGAAGTGACTCTGAGGGAGAACCATGGATGCAAAATGTACATGTATTCAAGGGGAAACTGAACACTTTCATAGAAAAGAAATCCAGTAAGAGTCACTAAGCACACAGATGGCACATGCTGATCAAAGAGCCACTCAGCTCCATATGACTGGAGGCTGAGGTGAAGTATCACACAAGCTTCTGCATGCAAATCCTGTGGGCCACTGCCAGAGGCAGAACACTCAACCAGGATTTTGGTCTGACCCAGCACACCTGCCCTTGTTTCCTTACAAGTCTGTAGGTACAAAAGGCTTCCAGGCAGCTGTGCGTCCACTGGGAGTGTCTGACACAGCCTGGACATGTACAAACATCTGTCAGGGAACAGGGGCTGTGAGTACCATCACAGCAACCACAACACCAACAGGGGTGCAGGGCCTCCCCATGGTCACATCTCACAGCCACCAACACAAACCACAGCTGTGTCCAAGTGCTGTGCTCCAGAGCCCAACCCAGCAGCACACATCATGGCGAGGCTTCGCGAACGAAGATTTGGGAAGGCTCTATCCACATTTGCTGCAGGCACGTTGGTGGCTTATGAGGCCAATACGTGACAGACATAAACGATTGCAAAAGGCACAGCAGAAAGACTCCTTAGATGGTGCCAGCAGCACACACTGCATAGGGGAGCCACAGACCTGGAGTCATCCAGAGAGAAGAAAAGCAGGAGAGACTGGAATACATAGAGACACGCGGGAAAACATGTGGGAACTGCATGTGTGTGCTCTGCAGCACCCAGACATCTGGGTCTCCTGGGTAAATACCCTTGAGTAAAAGTGGAGAGCCAAGACACCTAAAACAAATCAACTTTCTCCTCCTGAGCACAGGTTGGAAACTACAAAGGAAAAAAAAAAAGGTAAAACCCAAACTGTGCTACAAACAAAGCAAGTTTGGGGATGCCCACCTCTCTGAAGAGCGCGCCATAAAACTGAACAATATACGGGCAGTCACTGCTTCGCATCACTACATCAAGGTCCATCAGTAGCTGCTTCTGTTCTTTTTCATCCACTGTCGACCGAATTCTCTGAAAGAGGAAGAGTGGCAGAGACTTCATCACTTACTGTGTCCTCAGCCCTGCTGATGGAGACACATGCCAGGGACTCCAGCCCCAAGCAGAGCAGGCAATCCCCCAGGCATGCTCAAACACACTCCAGAGAATTAAGCTGTGTCCTCAAATAGCAGGTGAATAATGCTGTTTAATCAGACTATAAACCCCTCAGTCCTTGCATGAGCATCAACATTTTCAGATGAGATGTCAGAAGGAAATTAGAGCTGAGATTTCAGCAAAACACCACAGCCAGGCTTTCATTTCAAAATGAATTCCCACACAGTTCTTAGCTACGCTGAATGGGCCTTGAAGGCTGGTTTGAAATTTAACCAAGGAACACTATGTTTAAAATTTCTAAGTACAGAAGCCAAAAAGGCTCCTTCCACAGCCTCCACCATGGCTGGCACAGAGAGAAGGGACTGTCATGTAACCCAAGGAACACACTGCTCTGGTAATGCTAATGGGGGGCAGCAGTCCGGGAAGCTCTTCTCATCAAACTAACAATTCTTTACCTAGTACTGGCCTAGGGAACATTAACACTGCATAAAAGATACTTAATATGTGTATATATATATGTGTGTGTGTATATATACACTATATATATACACTATCTATAAAGAGAAGTCTCATTTGGGCTTGAAAGAACAATGCACATTTGAAAATAGAAAACTGTACATGTTCAAACATGAAGCTGGTTAAACGAAGGATGGAGAAGACCATTCACAGTTTTTCATGTGATTTTAAAGATATATTTAACATCTTGCACTAATTTATGTATTCTCTGAATCACAGGTGAGGAAATCCGTGATCCTGAAGCTGTGACTCATGTTGAAAGACCATTAAAAAAACACTTGGTGACAAGTTCAAAGCAAGAGAAGTAGCCTGGACCCTCTTCGAGGACAAAAACTATGTGGATATCCAAGAAAGAAAAATTATGCAAGGTCGTGGAAAAAATCTGCAAGGCACCAGCACCCATTTCACTGATACTATGGCCCCATGGGCAACTGCTGGTGGCATCAGGACCACACACAGCCAGCACAAGGCCAGGTGTACGAAGGTACTTTCAAGGTTGACCATTCATATAGAACCATATGTGAAACAGTGCATGATTATGTACTTTAGGACTATTTTGTGATGGCCCACACAAAATGAGGACAGTATCAACACTAATTTTCCTTACCTTTGGTGTTTCATGATATTTTGGTATTTTAGCACTCGTTCTTAACATTCTAGTAGTTCTAGTTTGGCCTAGACCAGTAATTGCTATGTTCAGATTGCCCTTTTCCCACCCCATTAATTCTAGAGTTCTTGGGGAAGCTGTCAGGATACCTGCCCAGCACACACAGTCCATCACATCCACACCCCACAGTGCCATGGGTGGGTGGGACTCTGTGGTCACCAAGAGAGCAAGAACAGGAGCAACGGGCCAGGAATGGAACTGAAAAGCTTCACCTCTAGGTCACTGGTTCAGGTGTGGTTCACACGAGTTCAGACGTCACTGAGGAAAGCCAGAGCAGTCTGACTGTTTCCTTGCCGTGTGCCCTCAGCACACAAAGCTCTGGGACACCCCACGCTCAGGAGGCCGAACAGACTGAACGTCCCTCTCCAGGTGACAAACCATCAGCACTGTGTGAAATGAAAATGCTAGTGCTCTGACCTCCACAGAAGACGATGGATGCCAAAGCTACTGTGGTGAGACCTATGAGGAATAGTTCAGTCTCTCACTGAGATGTGGCCCACATTGCAAAGGTCACCTTTTTGATGAGGAACAACACGAAAAGGAGCTTTTCTCCATATTGTAACTCACACCCCCCATTCTGTGCCCACTCCAAAAAGCCTCTTTCCTGGTCATCTGGGAGTATCTCCAGCCCTGCTCTGCGTTCTCCCTGCACCTGCACAATCCTGTCACAGGCACCCCCACGGTGTCCTCCTCAAACACCACAACTTCCCCGGACAGCATCTTCTCCCACCTCTGACATTCCTTCTCTGTTGTTACTTTTCCAGCTCTGGAAACCATGTGAAATATATACTAGATGGTGGAGGAAATTTTAATGGCACTCCAGAACAACACTGAACCCAAACACTCCTCTTCTCAAACACAATCTCCCCAGGGAGGAGTGGCAGGCAGAGGACCCAGAGCACAGACGGTGGGTCAGCTATATGGCAGAGCTCCAGGCAGACACGGGAGCCAAAGGACACCTTGAGAAGCCAACATGAACACTCCAACAAATATTGCTTCAGGGAGTGAAGGGAATGACATGTACAAGATTGGGAGGTCTCATACAAGAGTGCTGGAGACTGGCAAACTCAAAGGGGAGGACTCTGAGGAGCAGCACAGTGCTGAGCTGGGGTCAGCCCAGGCTGGAAAAATGGCTTTGTTTAGCTGGAGTGTGCCAGGGAGCCTGCTGCAGCCCAGCACTCCCAGTCCACCATGAGGAACCAGCATTCACCAGCGGAACAGGGAAGGAACAGCCAACGGTGAGTGAAGTCAACAGCAGTCACTGGCCAAACATGAGCCACATGAGCCACGAATCAACGTGCTACCAAAATCCAAGGAATAGTGCAAGATACTGCAGCATCTCCCACAGGCAGACTCCCCCAGGAACATGGGACACGGCAGGGAAGGAAGACACAAGGTGAGGCAGCTCCTCGAAGGCAGCATTCGAGACAGGGATGGGCAGGGTCTGACTCAGGCCTTGCACTGCTCAGCCTGGTCACTCCTGTGGGCACTCACTGACAAGTCACTGACAAGTGACTTCAGGGCCAAACAAGATACAGATGGAAAAGAGAGGTTTGTAGTAGAGGCTTATGGAAAGTCTCTTTTTTAACAATTCCTTGTTGACCTCAAATTTAAACTGGATCAAATCTTCCAGGAGAAAATTCTCCAGCACTTTTAATACAAACACAGGTTAGGACAAAGCCTTCTGACATCAAGAACAAGAGCTCTGATCAGCATCAGCAGCAAAAGGATAATCTGTGCTGTGGGTTGTGCCACTCTGGAATTTAAAAACAGATCCCAGAAACCAAACCCAAAACAGAAGAGACACCATCCAGCCCAATTCTCACACAGAAAGATTCAGGAGCAAAGGAAAGTGACCAGTTAAAAAAAAAAAAGAAAATAAAAAAAGCTATAAACACCAGACTGAAACCCAACTCGAGCTGTGAGACAACCCAGCACTGTCCTGAGCATGGGGCTCACCTGTGTCCTTAGCAGAAAGCTCAGCACAGCAGTGCCTGGCAGTGTCACTGGAGAAGTAGTGCTCCCAGGGGATGGCAATGACTGGGGACACTAAATCAGCAGGAAAAAAGGAGTTTGCCCAGCCACTGCTGAGGATGAGAATATCTGTCTACCCATCTGAAACACATTTAATGCACACTGAAGTAGATCACAACTAGTTTCCCATCTCCTGTGATGAGGTTCTCACTCTCTACCATTTCCTTTTCAACCCTTACTCATTGACCTCCTCCCTCACCAGCAGGGCTAGGAGCACTAGTTTCCCTGACTCTCAGTCAGCAGACCCAAAGAGATGACAAACAGAAAATTCTGAAGGTGTCAATTTGGGAGAGGGCACCGAGTTGTGCAAAGAATGCACAACCATTGTTTGCAATAAGGCCCCAAGACACTGTGCTCCTAACAAGAAATGACTCCGTGGCTTCCTGGCTCCTCCAGGAAGACCAGGGACAACCCATGGGTCTGACATCTCTGATTACTCTACTGATCTTGAAAATGCTTTTAATTTTCTTAGGGCAAGTTTAGAGCAGAAGCAGAGCAGGTAAAAACTATTGCTAGACTAAACCAGCAACAATGGCTAAGGACACTGACTGGAACTGCAGGCTGGACTAGACAATATTGCAGAGTGGGACTAAATCAGCTGGGCTGGTTTATAAAACAGATATTGGGAGATAACGAAAATTCTGGCATAGAGCTGAAAATCACTTCTTTTGGAGTGGGAAAAAACTGAACACTGTGGACAAATGCCCTCTTCCCAGCTGTAACCATGTCTGACAGAAACATAATTCAACTAGAGAGAGGTGCAAGATGTTTCCATGGGGTCGTGATAAGAAACTTGAAGGTCAACCAAAGCACACACCACACTACTCGTCTCCTGGTGATGTATTTCTCAGATAGCTGAACTGGTTGAAAAGAAACTGGCAGAAGCTGCTGGTAGTGAACCCCAGATGTCCCAGGCATTCCCTGCTGCAGGGCAGAAAGGGCTGAGAGGACTGAGGGGGAAGAACAGGTGGTGAAGAGCTCCTCCCTGAGCCTGAGGCTCAGGACACTGCTGTGTTAGGGCTCCTGACCTGCACAGGAGCCATCCAACACAGCAAAGCCGGGCTATTCTAAATATTTGCTGATTTATTTTAGGAACTCTTCAAACAAGCAGTTTTCCCAGCCTTCTAGAGGTCTTGTGAAGTACCCTGGCTAACAAAACCCACACCATGTACAGTATTTCAGTGCAAAGCAGAGAATCCTGCTCCAACTGGGAGAATGCTCCCCAGCATTCATTCTGGTTTGGTCTTTTTTTTTTTATTTACGTACTTTTATATCCATATTCCAAGGATCTTTTAAAGCACCTTTTTTCATGTGAACTATCACCAGGGCCAGGAGGAAACCTCGGGACAGAAATAAACCTCCCAGCGGTGGGTGAGCTTCCCAAGAAAACTATTTCACCCAAATAAAATGCAGCTTCTCTATGGTTCCTCCAACGTGCCTCAGATTTGTGGTACCCTCGTGGAACAAGATGCACAGTCCCTGGAGCAGCTGGGATCACACCACGTGGTGTTGCTGGAGGGCAAATACAAAAGGAGCTGAAGAATTGCACTGACCGTGAAGCCCCTGGGACAAAACCAGAGTGACAGCATTGGAGCAGGTCCTGAGAAGGGACCAGGGCTCTAGAGTGGAGAAGCCCAGGACATTAGTGACAAGTCACTTACAAACTGCCCCAGACTGGGAAAAGCTAACATGAAAACAAGAAACCAGAAGCAAAATTAAAGAATACTGGGTGAAACTGGAAATGTAATCAGGCAACATCACAGAGAGCTGGTGCCTCTGAGATGGTAGCTGACTCAGAGGAAACAGGGACTGTGCAACTCCAGGGAGATCTGAGAGGAAGGGACCTAATGAATGAGAGGATTGATTTTTATTTGGAAATAAAAATTTGGAAGATTTGAAAAACATTATAATAAAGCACTTTCCACGGGCAAAAATGAGAAAGGTTTGAACACAAAACCTGTTGAGCTGGATTCTTCTTTCCTCATCCTCTCCCTCTCTTCTTGATGGCCCTAGGAAGAGGCTCTCTGTGGCTGAAAGGGTAAGGGATGCACAAGCAATTGCAGGTGGCAACCTCAGGAGCACCAGATCCCTTCTCCTGCAGCCCACTCCAGCCTATTGCCAAAGAGGTACATAATGTCTTTTTGTCATTGAAAAAGGTATTCACAGAGGGACAGAATGACAAAGGCTGAAGGAGAGGGACAAGCAGGACTGGGGACAAGAGCTCATCAGCCCAGCCATGCTCCAGCAGCTGAAGCTTTGCTGTAGTGGTTTCAGCCAGCAACACAACGAGGCTCATTTTAGGCTCATTTTCCTCCTTTGCCACTGACTCTGGAGCACAGACGAAAGCTGCCTGACTCATCCAGGGCCTGGCAGCCCTGCTCATGCCAGCAGCGAGACACTCACATTGAAGGTGTCAGGACTGCATCTGCCAGGACCCAGGGGCTGATGGGAGCAAAATGCATAAAGAAGAAAAATGGAAGAAAACGGTGCCTCTGCCTGCAGATCTCAAGTTATTTTGGTGATATTTCAGCACTCAGGAATGATTTTCCTGCAGTGGTAAGAAATACTGCCAGGAAGTGCAGCAAAAAGGCCGTGCTGGGGGGAGTCCTGGGGCACAGAAGCCATGCCCAGCACTGGTACCACAGACATCAAACAGGAGGAAAGCTTCAAGGAATTATTCCTTGTGTAAAGGCATGATAGGCTACAAAAAGCCAGAGGAAGGAGTTGGGAACAGGATTTGAAGGCAACAGTTCTGCTGTCAAGAGACCAGAGGCTTGAGAGAAACAGAGAGAGCAGGAGGGGAACAGCCTTAAACACGGATGGCCTGTAGGGCAGACTGAGATAGAGCAGAGCAGGGAGATTATTGCACAATCTTGGCTGCCCCAAAAGCAGCAATCTGAGAAAGAAAAGTCTGAGGAGTGTGGGATGAATGAGTCACTACCAAGCTCAGCCCCATCATGAAACCTCATCTCAAAGACCTGCACCATCCACACTGGTGAATTGCTGCTGCTGCCTTGGAGACCTCACTGACTGTTCCACCCACAGGTGTTCCTTTGCCCAGTTTCATGTCTTATCCCCACTGGGACAAAGAGAACAGTCTCTTACCTCTACCATTTTAAAAATTATACTGTTGCACAGACCCTCCTACCTTCCTTCCCCAGCAGGTCTAGCCACCCTTGCCCAAGAGAAGTGGGGTCAGAGAAAAGAAGGTGGTACCAGCTCAGCCCACAACTTTGAACAGTTCACAATTTAGTCATTGTAAAACAATCGGGTTTTACTTCTTTTAAAGTGAGTCCCCAAGCCCAGCACCCTCCTGAGGCTCAGAACACCTCTCCTTCTCTGGGAAGGCAGCTCAACATGCTGTGCCACATCATCTCCAGCCCTGTGCCTCAGGGACACAGCCCTGGTGCCTTCTGCCTCCCAGATGGGAGCTGTACCTCAGCACAGGCCCTTGACACTGACAACATTCACCTACGATGCTGACAAGTCCTCATGCAAACAGTCTGGAACAAGAGAATCCCTGTGCCAGCAGACAATTCTCCTCCATGACACGAGCTAATCCATCAAAGTGCCCTTCTCCGCATGGCTGTACCCACTGCAGGCTCCAGACAGCAGCCACTCAGCTATGGGCATGTGCCTTCCTCATACCCATGGCTACCAGGGGTAGAGTAGCAAAACTACAGGTACCCAGCTCACACACACTGGGTTTAAGAAGCTGGAGGTGCCCGGGCATTACTTCATTACACAAATGATTTTCAACCCATCATCTGCAAACTACACCCATGAGCTCTACCAAAGGCAACTGAAAGAAAAGAGCCTTTAGCTACAGGCAACCTCTAGCTCCACTGGAGACTTTTAGGGATTCGAATCCAGGTTGAAACACCACTGCATGGTGATCCAAAACACTCGGAGACCTAACCAGTGATACCACTGCTGTGACAAAGTCAGTATTTACTGGAGAAGATCAAAGGATGAGGGTTACTCCAGTAACCTGACACACTAGAGACAGGTTTCGATATTCACAGCAGCTGGAGCTGGGCTGAGATAAGTCCGCCTGGCCCCGTGAGACCAGCAGGGGCGAATGTCTCCAGATCAGATCAGGCAGTATTCCAAAGAAGACAGAGAGAGTTGGAAAAGACAGCAACAGAGACTCCTACATAGCTCACTTCTGCTCTTTCCTGGGAGCCATGAGTGCACTTATAGTTGATCTTACTGACAGAGTTAAAGATGAATGTCATCTGCCAGCTGCAATGAGCAAGGGAAAGGATCGGAGAGAGAGAGAATGGGCGCTGCCCTCCTCCATGGACAAGCAGATCCTCAAAGATGCCCATTGAGCAGCCCTGCTGTGGCAAGACAGAATACTCTGTACTGTCCAGCTGGGAGAGGAGGCCGAGTATTGTTTCTGGGTTTAAGGTGAGTTTTTGGGTAGCATAAAGTAGAAAACAGACAGTCCAAAAAACTGCTACACTTTCCATCTCTGGAACAGGTTAAGTACAAAGCAGACATACACCAGCAAGAGCACAACACTCCCTAGAAGACATCCACTCCATTCTAGTTCCTCCTGATGAGGCCACACCATGGCACATGCTGACTTAAAGAGCTAATTTTAAGTCTCTACTTTAGTTCACAAAAGACACCAAGAAGCTGTGAGACGTCAAGGTGTGTCTCCCACCAGCCTAGGCTGTACCTGAACCAGTGACCCAGAGGTGAAAGGCCCATGCCCCATCATCAGTCTCCAGAGATGTGATCCCCTCAGAACAGCAGGTTCCTGATAGACATTTTCAAAAGGGCACAGCAATTATGAGAACATCACAAATCACTTGAAAACATGCCCATTATACACTGTATTTTCAGCAAACAGTAGCCTTTACACCAGAAATAAATAGAACAGAGCAGTAGATGGGTGCTAGATGGAAGAACCCTAATTCTCCATCACACAGCATCCCAACGGACTAAAGTACAAATGTAAGGATGGGCATCACCTACTTTAACTGCCATAATTTGCCCACTTGGTTTGTGGACCATTTTGTTGACAGAACCATAAGCGCCTCGTCCAATTTCTCCAAGGTCTTTCAAGTCCTCTGCTGTAAAATCCCAATGTTGTTCAGGGGAAATCTTCAATTTTCCTGATGATTCAATGCTGTGTGTTCTCAGTCTCTCTCTGTCAAAAATATTGGGAAGCAATTTTTCCACATTTTAAATATTCCGTAAATGTCTCTTTTCAGCACTTGTTTAAACATTAGAAGAGGGGTTCACAAAGCTACAGCAACAATCTGACTCCACGAAGGATTTTGGTTGGGGTGAGGGGTACGGGGGTGAGGGGAAAATGTTAAATCAAAAATGACATACACTTGCCCACAGTTTCAATTAAGTTTCTCCAGCTGTGGCATAAAATTCAATGTGTCTCATAGAGTCATTCTAAGCACTCATTTACACAAAATGCATCAGGCTGAGGGCAGGATCTGGGAACATGCAGCACCAAGAGCCTGAAGAGCAATCCCAGCCCCATCTCCCCAAAGCTCCTGCTGCTCTACCACCACATCCCAGCACCTGCCTCCCTTCCAGCTGGGATTCTATCGAACACAGGCAAAGTTCTTCTGGGTGACCCAGGAAGACTTCAGAAAAAGTTTCCCTTAATGTAAAATGGCAATTAAAAAAGATAACTCAGAAAACCTCCAATTCTAATACATTCAGGTAATCATTTAATTTATTCAAAACCAAAGAGAGAGCCAATAATTTATAAAAAGCAAGACAAGTTCTTTGTGACATATGAAAACAAAAACTGCCTGTTCAAGTGTGTATTTACCAAACACCTAAATTAACTTTCTCAGGCAAACCCTGCTCGTACTGAAGCCACCAGAATTTGCCTACGTAAGGAGCAGACCAATGTCCAAAATGTGTGAACAGAGGAGGTCAGAGATTGTTTGAAGGTGCTCCTAATGGCTTGGTTAAATGCATCAATGCTATCACTGAATTAGGAGGAAATGCACAAGTGTTTGCAACGCTTTTCATCTTAAAATGCTATGCAAAATTTCAGGTTTTCATTAATTAATTAGCTGAGTCACACTTCTTGGGTCATAAAGTAAGCCAAAGCCCCACGTTTCAAGATGCATCAAGAGCATTGCAGAGAGTTCCCACTGCAGGGCACACGGATCTCACAGGGACTGTAAAGCATACGGGTACTTGTGCCTGCCCTGTGTACATGGCAGATCTGTCAAACTCATCTCTCAGACTCTGATCACTTCACTTGGGCATTTGATCCAGCCCCCACTTGCCTGGCCAGGGTCCAGCCCCACGAGCAAAATACACATGATGGATCCAACCAAACACATGGAGCTTATCGAGTTTACCAGCCAAGGAACAACCAGGTCATGGCTGATTCCACACTGATAAATCCCATGTTGGCCACCAGCAGCTGCAAACACCACCCAGCTGGGTGTCATGGGGGACCCAACTGTGACCTCCACTGGGTTTGGTTTGGATGCTGGGCTTTGCAAGGGCGAAAGGCCAACTGACCAGTTCAAATGGCTTCATGTGCTGCCTTCCAGCCTCTCCTGTGCTGCTCTGGGTTAGTGCTGCCCAGGTCTGAAGCAGCTGCATGTCCAGAACCCTTGACACATTCGATCAAAGCCTTGGGGAGCAGCTCCTCTCCCCACTTCTGGGCTGTGTCTGCCCTGCTGTTTCTTGCTCTCTAACCTGCCCAGCTCAAGATTTTCAATCTGCTGCTCTCTACAGTGTCCCTACACTGCACTTAGGAAAAATTCAGGTAACCTCCTAAGAGTGCTACAACACAGCCCAGGGGGGATGAACACACCTATCTCAGAGCTCCTGTGCATAATAAACACTGCATTGAATGGGGTTCTCCGTGGAAGTTGCTTACTAGAAAGCAAGGAATGAAAATAAGGCAGAAAAATGTCAAAAAGAACAGAGGAAAAAAGAAAAGAAAAAAAAATGAAAAGAAACATGACCTCCACACATGCCAAGCGTCTCACAGGCAGCTTCTGAACAGGTTACTGTCTAACTGCTCCACCATCCTGTTTTGTCAGTGCCACAAAAATAGTTTTGGTTTTGAGGGAGGAAGGGAGGTGAGAAGCACCAGTCGAAGAGGCACTGGCGAACGGGCATTTCCTGCCTCACCTCCAGCCAGCTGGTGGGCACGAAGGAGCACAACCACTGAGAGCTAAGCCCTCTTCAAAAAGAGGAAAAACAGCAGAGAGGTGACGTTTAACAGAGTTGAGTTTTGATTTTCTGAGCAAACCCTTTCCAGATCTTCTTTGAAAACACTTCATACCAAAGCTCTCACGGAATTAAGAAATTTAAACATTGATGTAGTTTATTCAAATAAAGCAATTAAATCCTTCTCCACTCTTCCCTCTGTTTTTCTGCCCAGGAAACTTTGCTTTTCTGATGCTCCATCAGAAGAGAAAGCAATTTGGAATTCATTAATTCCATCACACAAGCAGCCTGTGTGTCCCCAGCTGTGTGTGAAAGCCGAGCTGTGTCATTGTTGGGCAGCTGAGGGATGTGGCTCAAGCTGCCGGGAAGAAGGTGGGAGCTGGGAATAACCCCCTGCTGGGGCTGCACCAAGGGCTCTGCAGCTCTTCAGGGGTTTGGATCCAGCTGTACTGTCACCATCCACCCCCAAACCCTCCCATCTCGGAGTTTGGCTTCATTTCCATTACGTATTTATGATGCCATCTGCCCTGTCTTGCAACCACAGCTCCTGCTTAGTTTTTCTCAAATACCCAGGGAAATGGTCAAATAAGCAAATGAAAAGTTTGACAGAGTGACAGACACTTGAATAGAGATTTTGCTCATTTAGCTCATTTGCCACATGTAAGCAGGAATCATAAATGGAATGCAATGATTGCCTTTAATGTCAAAAAACTACACTTGATATCAAGAATTTTTCAGTGTAAATCAAAATCCAAATGGATTTCCATGCCAAGAAAGTAGCTCAAAAATGCAAATCTAGAATACAGACTCTGCATTGATCTAAATTGGGAGTTTTCTGATGCAAATCTGAGGCAATAAAAACAACTAAATCACCAGTGCAGCACATCTATTCCTAAATTTGCACTGCTGCAGATGGATGAGGACATAAATCCACGGGGTGGACATGCCTCCAAACACAGAAAAGCTGCCTAAGCCCTGCACTACATTCTGGTGCTCTGGATACTACAGCAGTCTGCTTCAGAGAATAGCAGGGCAACCACACAGTGTCTAGTGAAGGTAAAAAGTAGTTAGTGCCAGTCTGTGATTAAGTGCACATCAGAGTTTGCACGGATGGGAGCAGACATGTGCTTCCTCTTACCATTTCATTTTTCAGCTGTGCAATCCGACCTTCTCTCTTCTCTAAGGCTGGGAATGTTGAGCAAAATTGGATATATATTCTCTAAATGCTCAGGACGTGCAAGATGAACTTGTGGGGATTCATATATGATTTTAAAAAATAATATAAATAGCTAAAGTGGGCTAGATACTCCTCAAACAGTTAAAAGTAGCATTTCCAAATGCATCTTAGTGACTACAGCTCCTGACGACTTGTCCAGGACTCCTCATCTTGGTTTTGAAAATTTTTAAAAGGCAAGAAGAAAAAAAGGGGCTTAGGAGGTGGTTGTGCTCCCTGCACTTGAAAGGCACCAATGTGTCAGTCTCACTGCAGACAGTTACTATGCTTGTCACAGCAGTTACTCCACGGATTAGGAACACCAAGCAGGACAACAACTCCTCCAAACAGTTGCCCTTTGTCAGAGCTGACTCTGTGGGCCCAGCCTGGCAGGAGACGGGCTCTGGCACCAGACACGGCTGCCGGGCTCGGACGGGGCACCAGGCTCAGAGCTGAGAGCTGAACCTGCACGGGAAGACCCACCAGGGCTAGAGACCCCCCCCAGTCACCTTGGGAAGCTCCCAGACAGGCTGTGTTAGTTCCCTGAGCCCTGCTGTTAACATCCAACTGCAGGGAGGCCAAAACTTTTAAAAACAAGCACTTCCTTGGGCATGAAAAAGAAGGACCATTGGGAGAAGCAGAGAAAAGTTGGTGGGTTGTTTCAAACTAAACTGGAAGTTATCAGACATGAAGCAAGGTCAGAAAGATCCTGTACGTAGCTACGTATATCCTCTTTTCTTCACTTTGTTGAGAGCTCTGCAGGACTCAAAGCAGCCCAAAAGTTGACATATTCAATGTTACAGCTGACATGAATAAAATCTGCAGAGGCAAAAAGATCCAAGCAAACCGCTGTGCCTCCCAAGCCAGCCTGCTGCTGGATTCTGCTCAGAAGTCTCTCATTAAAGCTCCTACTTACACTACAGTTAATGAGAATATATTCTACTTCTCTACAAGTTTGGTAAAAAAGCTGCTCGACACAATGGCATTTTAAAAACAGATTTGTGGTCCATCAGCCAAAGTTGAAGTGGAAATCCTAACAAAAAAGCTTCCAGGCAAACTGCAGGGTGTGAACGATACTGTGCACTGTCCATAACTTCAGACTACAAACATGCCTTAGGACTGGGGCTGACAGTCCCTACCAAGACTTTCCAACAGTCTGGAGAAGTCCTGGAGAACTGTGATGCTTCTATCTCAATGTCTGTGTCACTTCTAACACAGTTTTCAGATCCTGCAGGCTATTGCTAACAGAGTATCAACCCTAGTTTAACTTTCACTGGAAAAAGTCTCCAGAAGAAATGTTTTTCTTTTTTTTTTTTTCTGAGGGCTGGAAATGTCGGTGCTCTCACAAATCTCTTAGATTCTCAAGAAAAGAAATTTTTGCTTCTGATAAGCAAAGAGCATCCTTGCAAGAGGGATAGAACCAATTTGGGTTTGCTTTGACCCATGTAAGCTATCCTGAGGCTTTGCTATATTCAACAGCAGATTCTTAGACATAAAGAAGAGATACAGAAAATGTGGCAAAGGAAGAAAATAGTTTTCCACCTCTGACTTACTCAGATTAAAGCAAAGCAAACTTGCTCCCTTTCCTTGTGACCAGGAGGTTGAAATTCTCCCTAGCACTGCCCTTGCTTTTTATGCTTCTCCAAAACTTTAAAATAAAGATAATAACAAGATGTGGAAGTTGCACAGCCCTTCCAGAGCCCCCATGTCTCAGCCCAGCACATGTTCAAGGCTGCAAAGAATCTCTCTGACTTCAACGGAGCTTGGCTGAG